TCAAAAACAGAATTGCTGAGTTGAAAAAGGGATCACCCCTTCAATGAGGTATAGCTAATCACCTTCTCAATGGCACACAAATCCATTTGACTTTCAACTGTGATCAACTGTTGTCAATTTGATTAGCTCAGCATGAAATTTCCTTTCCTGGAGCATATCAGTCCCTAGCATATCAGTCCCTGGCAGTGCATCTGAAGCAAACAACCAACTATGGGTGCCAAGGCACTCTGAAAAGATCTCCGGATTAAAATTGTAGACAGGCAGTCAGGAGATGGATACAAAAAAAATTCAAAGACTTTATCAATGCCTAGAAGCATAGTGAAGTCTGTTATTAAGAAGTGAAAGGCATTTGGTACAACACAAACCCTCACTGGATCAGGATATCACTTTGAACTGGATGAAAGAGCCAGGAGGAGACTGGTCAGAGAAGCTACCAAGAGGCCTACAGCATCTCTGAAGCAGCATCTCTGAAGCAGTTGCAGGAATTTATGGCAAGAGTGGTCATTGTGTGCATGTGACAACAATATTACAAATTCTCTACAAATGGGGCTTGTATGGGAGGGGTGCAAGAAAAAAGGCCACATGCAGTCACGAAAGAGCTTTGCCAAAACACATCTGAGATTCTAAGGCCAAATGGAAAAAGGTGTTATGGTCAGATGACACTAAAATTTCATTATTTGGCCTCAACACTACATGATATGTCTGGCAGAAATCCAATACAGCTCACCATCCAAATTACACCAGTTTTACAGTAAAGCATGGAGGTGGTAATATCTTGTTATGGGGGGCTTCTCTGCAGCAGGTACTGGAGCACTTGTCAGGATAGAAGGAAAATGTATGGGCAAAATACCGTAAACTTCTTGATGAAAATCTGCTGTCCTCTTCCAGAAAGTTGTCAATGGGAAAAAGGTTTAGCTTCTAACATAGCTATGACCCAAAGCACACAGCAAAAATGACCACACAGTGGTTGAAGGAGAAAAAAGGTGAATGTCCTTGCATGGTCTAGTCAGAGTTCAGACTTAAACCGCATTGAAAATCTGTGAAATGATGTGAAGATTGCAGTCCACAAGTGGTCACCATCAAACTTGATCAGTTCTGCAAAGTAGAGTGGGCAAATATTGCAAAGCCCAGATGTGCAGTTAGTAGAGACATATCCCAACAGACTAAAAGCTGTACTTAAAGCAAATGGTGGTTCAACAAAATGCTGACACAATGGGGTGATCCCCCATTACATTTTTTTCTGACATGTTGGTGTTATATTTTTCACTTGGATGTTATAAGTTGCACTGAGTACATACAACTGGATAAAACAAACACTGTGTCTGTCTTCATTTCAGGCTGCAACGCAACAAAATGTGATTATTTTAAAGGGGGTGATTCTTTTCTATATCCACTGTAGAATAATTATTGGCCCACTATGTATGTAGTAATGGTTAGTATAGAATTAACTATCCCAGGAACAGTCTGTAATGTATGTTACTTATCTGATTTAAAGATCTGGCAGTCTTAATCTCCTCTACAGTCTTTAAACTGACTCTTTCAAGTGAGTTGACTTCCTATGGTGCCATATTCATTAATAAGTTACCTTAAAGTGTATTTCCAACTTTGCAACCTAATTAGTATGACGCCTACTTTATATTTGTTACATGTTCCCATTAACATAGCATAACCTTTACAAATATTTACAAAATGCTGCTTACCATTTTACTTGCTTTTATTTTTCTAAAAATTAAACTTAGCTTGCCCCTTCTATGTAATGTTAAGGAGGGGGCAAGGAAGTTATAATTTCCATAATTAACCCTTTCTGTACTGTGCTGCCAAATTTTTTATTATTATAAACTAGATGTGCACACTATCCTAACAAAGGCTTAAAAATCTTGAGAACTTAGAAAAAAAATCTGACCCTAAATCTGTCCCTTGATTGCACATTGCAAATAAGGAAACAAAGAGAAAGTTAAGAAATATTTGCTTTAATTTTTTTTAGGTATGCTGTGTGAATGGGAATACATAACAAATTTGACTGCAAAGGTGAAAGAACACGTTAAGGGTGTTTAAAGGCAAGGGATAACATGACTCAAATCCTGCTTCTAACTTTCTAGTATAATTGAATGGAATACCAGATATGAAGCAAACTACAGCCCAGGCTTCTAAACAGTCTCTTCTTGTTAGAAGTCATAGGCAATACCTTGAAATTAAAAACTTATAACATCATGTAATCACACTTCAACCAACAGAGAGGCTGAGAGGTTGAGTTTGAGTTTGTAAATTTTTAGTAAATCCTTATGCTTTATTTAGAGACAATTAGGGAACGTATATAGATTGTTAATTATATGTAATCCCTATACAGCTAAACTTGAATATTGGTTTAATTACTGGTCAGCAGAACATCATAGAAATCATGGTTCCACAAGACTGGGTACATGATGACATTATCAAATAAAATTGTAATAACTGGGGGGGCATCAATGGGTCAAGTATCGAAGTACTCAATGATTATGATTATGGTGAGAAACAAATAAAAAAAACAAAAACAATGGCATGAGTACCAGCCAGCAGTCCCAGATTTTTCAGATCCTGTTGGCAGAGGAGGGGGGAGTTTTACTCCCCAAAACATTTTTTCTGCAGAATTTAACTTCAACTAGACTTTATATAACCTAAAATCTGAACTAGGATTGCTGCAAAGAAAAGTGTGACTCATTTATAGGTCTCAGAGAAAAATGATCCCTGTCTGTGTTGCAACATGTCAGGGTTCCATATTGTTCTTTTTAAGTATTGTAGATACAATAAACCCAGAAGCAGCACAGACTGTGATACATGTTTTTCTCAAAAATGAGTCGCATTGTTTTGATCTGCTGGAAATAAGATACAGCTCAGATGGTGGCACCATTCACACCACAAGAAATTTCTTGTTTTTCACAGTCACCAGTGAATGAGAACCTCCAAAGTTGCCATTCCTTGCTTCATAAATGGCCTGAATCTGCTGGTCTCTTTTGACTTACAATCTTCAGTGCGTTATTGTGGCACATTGCCATATAAAGTGTAATTGTTTTAACTCAAGCTACGTTACTTTGGGGTTGATTTACTAAAACTGCAGAGTGCAAAATCTGGTGCAGCTGTGTATGGTAATCCAATCAGCTGCTAACTTCAGCTTCTTCAATTAAGCTTCCGCAAAAAAAAAAAAAAAAAAAAAAGCTGAAAGCCGATTGATTTTCTGTACAGAGCTGCACCAAATTTTGCACTCTCCAATTTTACTAAATCAACCCATTTGTGTCTGTCCCAATTTAGTTGATAAAAGCACCTTTATAGAAGAGTATATAATCCTATATACTGTACATAAGCCTGTATTCAGTAACCATCCCCATACTGGTACTGAACCCAAGTCTGTCTGCAAAGCACTCTTCCTCCATCATCCCCTACAACAACTTATTACTTTTTAATCTTTAAGATATCCTCTGTTCAGCAATGAGTAACCTCTCATATTGACAAGGTCATATACTTTGCACGGTGTTAAGAGTGTGTCTATATTTTAGTAATGGCAATTCCCATATTTCTGTCTTCACAGATTATCTTTAATTGTGCATGTTTTTAATCCTACATATGACTTAGTCAGGTATTTATAGACCTTTGACTTTGGGTTTTCCCAATGTAGTTTCTTTTTGCAGACGACATATAAAAATTATACATTTAATTTATTTAGTTCTATTCCCACAGTTAATTCAAAATAATACTCATTATTCCATCAAATTTATAAATACCCCCTCCCCACCTCAAGTGGTATATCTGTCCATTCTGGACTATATAGCTTATAAATCTACCACACAATATGCCAGCAAGACTGTACCCACGAGATTCCTAGAGCACAGCGGGTAGCAATAAACAAACAAAAAAAAAATGTTGCTACCCATAACAATCAGTCAGGAGCCAGCTTTCATTTTATAACCTGTTTTAAAAAAATAACAGCTGACATCTCATTGTTTGTTATTGGCAGCACTGTGACTATTTTACACTAATTTCGATAAATTATACCCTGCGGATATTAAAATGAAAGCATTCAATGCCACCTTAGAAACAGTGGCTGAAAACTAAACAAATATAATAATACAGAGGTATGGCAAGAAAGAATAGAAACATAACCTTTTCATGCAAAATATATCTGCTTTGGTTTACATCATATCTTGATATGTGACAAAATGCATTTCACCTAGCTGAAAAAGTAGTATAATAAAGATTTCCTTCTTGAATTGAAAGAATAAATAAAATATGGCTCCCTAGCTTGCCATTGCATCAAATGTATGCTAGATGTGGATTAATTCTAATGTGACTAATCCAAGCATCCTTTAAATACGTTTTTTCCTTTTCCCTGCTTGATTCGTGTTGCCATTTACCTTCAATGTCTTGTTTATACTGTTTTACAAGTACAGTTCCTCTTGTGATTGCTATGTCTGCTAAATTAAAGTGCACGCATTTGCTTTTTTATAATATGCTTTTGCAGTTGATCTTGGGTTTTATACTTCATTATTGTTCCTTTCTCAATTCAATCCCACGCTGAAACACAGCTAAAGAATAAATCACCATGTGCCAAGTTTGTTTAATACATGGACAGTTGTCCTGGCTTTTTTAAACGTTGTTCACTTGTAAAATGTCCAGGCAGAAGATATTTTCAGACTGCTTTTATATAACTTCCATCCTAATACAGATGATATCCTACTCAGAGGAGGTCATATGGCAGAGATCTCAATGTCATCATTACAGAACGTCTACTGCAGCGTGAACTTGAGGAGTTTTAGAGGAGTCTTTTTAATCTGTATATCTTTATGCAATTGTATATTGTTCCACCCAAATTACATTCGGCTAAAAATATTTCTTACATTCCTGAATTGTTAATAGGGTGTTGGTAAGGCTTTCGCTGACTCTGGCACCAAGTGTTTCCAAGAAGTGGACAGCGGGAAGTACTAAAGGAGAGTAGGAAGTAGGATCATATCCATGATGGTCTTCTTAGGTCATACTGGTTTGTCAAAAGGCCTTGGGAACGGTGTGCCACTAGAGGAGGATATTTTCCTGCAGACAGTGTTGGTATGATTCTCACAGCGACAGCCTGGTCTTTTTACTTTGTCATAGCCTTTCTGGCAGAGTGTCAGGCAACCTTTAAGAGGAGGATAGCAGCATAGACAGGGCATGAAGAAAGAAAGGAAGCTCATGACTGCCCATCGAGCACAGCAGGATCCCTGGCTGCAAGAGCAGGGGTTGTCAGCACAGTTGTCCTCATCATCGGAAGAGCAATGGTAGAAGAGGCCTTTGATACAACAAAGGCAAGTTCCGTACTCAATGACATTTTTGGCCGAGCACAAGCAGCGCTGGTTACAAATCCAACAGGAAGGGAGTTTCCGAACTTGTGCGCATTCATCACAAATACAACGCCCGCACTCCTCACAGATGAAAAGATGGCCCATGTATCTATCTGACCTCTCCATTATCCCTTTAATAAATTGGCCTTGCTTCGGGTCACCATCCTTAGGCTGTGTCCTCATAAGTGAATGCCCTGAATTGGATGGAGTGATTCCAGTTAGCAATCTCTGGTCTGATGCTGTGGTACTCCGAGAAACTGAGCTTATTGTACTGGAATGACTTAGATCATGGACAAGATGTTGTGATTGGTGTTGATGGCTTTGGCTGCGATGTAAATCCTGGTGATTATAGGACACCAGGTGGTCATTCGACCACTCTTGCTTTGCAGCATGTTGGGAAATGGAAGGATTAGACCAGGTCTGCATGAATGAGACAGCTGGTCGCTCCACATAATCATTGTTTGCCCTGATCGAACGAATTTGATCAATGGAAAGAACTTGCTGGATGTCTCCAGTTGAAATATCCATGGCCTTGCTACCTCCTTCCTTATGTATGTAATGACAGTCACTCTTTGGATAGTATTATGTTCAAGTGGTATCTTCCATCAAGGTACATCAGAAGATCCTACAAAATACAAAACATATTTACAATGTATATGTAATAGATCAAATAGATGAGAGTATACAATATTGTATTATGATATGCCACAGAAATAAACAATAAATGTCATCATTATTAACCTTTGATAGTTTTTAATAAACTTGTTGGAAAATAACTTTTACAATAAATCATTATATATTACTGCATTATATTTTTATTTTTATATCAGCTTGTGAGCAGAAAACAATAGTTTGTTGGGAAGAAGACCTAATGAGGACCCTGATGTTTAAATAAAGATATTGCAAACTACTGCAACAGCCCCAATGAAAACAGGCGTCCAAACTAGCATATTTAAAGCTAAACTCTGAGCACAAACAAGTTCACTGAAACATATTCCTAATTAAGAACCAAGCTTATAAATTCACTTTGTGAGCATCAAACACCCTTCCAAACCCCAAAATTGCCTTGTAAAAAGTAGCAGTGAGAGCTGATTCACACATGTGCAGAAGCTTATGTTTCACAGCTAACACAGTAGCTGTTCAGCGGTTCATGTTAGGTTTACATCAGGTTCAGGACAGGATTAGCTCAGGATTTTATCATGTTCAAATATATGCGATTTAGAAACAGTTCCCATAGAAGCCAATAGCCTGTAATTGGCACCTGAATCTAAAAGCACTGCTCAGAGATTGTACATGACCCTTTTTAAACTGCACTGAATCCATGCCACTAGTGTACCGGACATATGTGAACAGCCACCATAGCAAGCAATGTTTTTTCACATGTCATGCGGATTGGATGCGGTTCAAACTTCATCCAATCCACATATATGTGAACCAGACCTGACATCATCACTGTGCTGTGCACAACCCATGCAAGGAGCAAAGCTGTGAGAGGGACCCAGCAGGTACACCCACTACAGGCTGCCTGCATAAAACTACAGGGGGAGGATACAAGACCTGTTGTCCTGCACAAGGAGAGGGAGCAGCAATGTTTGGTCTTCACTACAGGAGGCATCTGGACAGAGGAAATGTTTCAAACTGGATTACTGCACTGTGACACAAAGCACACCAAGATTCAAGTACAAATACTGTTGTACTTTGCTTATCCCACCATTTAGCTTTAAAGCTTATCTTTTCTGTTAAGAAGGTACAGTTGAAATGCAGTTATTTCCTAATTACTTTGTGCACCGAAGATCATTGTTGCTTACTGGAGGAAATCATTTAGTATAAGGCAAGGTCAAGTTTCAAATCAAAAAGCCCTTTTTTTTAAGGAAAATGTTCTTGCAGGTGTAAAAATATTCAATTAACAGCAGATAACTGTCTGCTGCAGAACACAATTATTGGTACAAAATTTGTACATGCAAGCCATCGTTAGCGAAAGGATTTTGGAATTGTTAGAGGTGCTACGTTGATGCATTTTTTGTGTGCATTCAAATACACCCTATTAAATCATGTTAATCACCACCTCATTTCCTGCATCTATACCTTCACCATAATCACTGGTACTGTTAGCATCATTACCTGTTAAAAGGGTATGTTTAGTCAATATTTTTTTTTTAAAGTAGGAGGGACTTCCTATGACTTTCCTATGTTCCATTGGGGGGACTTCCCATCACTTTCTGTCCCTAAAACACAACAGAAAGTGAGAGGAAACCTCAACAAATAAGGAAAACAGTTGTTAGACAGTTGTTTCTGAAAACATATATATCCAACTGGATCATTTAACCTTACCTCCTGTTCTAGAGATAACTATAAAATTTAGCATTTTCTTTCTAGGTGACAATGGTCACCAAAAGGTGTAGAGGTGGTAAATCTCCCCAGCAGGGACACATCAATAAAAACATAATAGAGGATCTAACCCTGTCATACTCTATCAAAAACGAAAACAAAAACCACAAAGTTTTAGATATACATACACTTTAGGAGTTCAGATATTTTGGGGTGTAGACCCTCTGTATGATCAGCAGTAGAAGTCAAAAGATCCCTTGCCTTTTCTTATATTTTGAAGATGGTTCCTCAGTTACTATATTTGGCTCCATAACAGGACCTGGAAAACTATATAATATTTTGTGTAAAAGATGTGCACCTAGTGGATAAACATAGCCTACCTAGGGATTAGGGCACCGAGGACTCTGTGCCACGAGCCTCCTGCTACATAATATTTTCTTAATACTAGCCCTGAATATAATGCGTATTAAAAAGCACTCAGTGAAAGTTTTAACTTAACTCCGACCACAAGGGAAACACATGACCTTATCTACACTGCAGACTGCTTGGAGAAAACCACTTTATTTCTTATTATCCTGCCTGTAATTGCTTTTCCAGGCATCGCTCCCCTGAGATTCCTCCAGGAGACACTAGTGGAGAAAGTGAAGTGTCATACTACCATTTACATGGTGCTGTCTAATGCACAGGTTGAATAATCTTGTCTGCATATCTAAATTAATATGATATATTTTTCATATCCATCAGATTCTAAAAGGATGCATCACAAGCAATTTCAATATAAAAAATAGACATATGTCCTAAACTTCCCTTCCAGATAAAGTATTCATTTCATACCAGCTCAATGTTTGTCTTTTGTTTTAAACAAAATAGCTGTATATTTCAACAAAAATATTCTAATAATACAAAATAGAGTTTTTTTCTAACATCCATTTTATGATATTGTTCAATGCACATTTTATAATGCACATTTTTAAATATTTTATGTTTTAAAAGTTTTTTTTATAATGTAATATGATATCTCATTTATACATTTTGTCATTCAAAGCAAGCTGTGGGGTATATTTAAAAGAAACGTGTACTGAAAGAAATACAAATGTTGACCTTTTCCTGAAAATGTTGTTTCCTAGCTCTTAAGCTTTCATACTTTCTGAGTCATTGACCCCGAATAAGTATGAAGCAAGTAATGTCAGATGGCAGTCATAAGACCTAATATGCTCTGAGTTAGCAATGCACCATAGTTGACATCTTTGGATTAATATAACAGCCGAGCAACTAGCATTTCCAGAAGTGCATTAAGGGCTGCCTTCATATATCTCTAGTGTTTTGTAAAGTTTGACTTCAGCAAAAATTTTATAGTTCTTTTTAATTTTGTAGACCTAGCAGATGTAAGGTAGCTATGGATCAATAAAAGTTGAGATTTTATTTATCTGTATAGAAAGGTAGTATTGAAGACATATATGGTATGTATAGAATTATTGTGATGTGAATACAATCATCAAGCTGTGTTAATAATGAGTTCATTTTAAAAAAAATAGTTCTAATGGAGTTTATTTACTAAGGCTTATTTACAATCTCTTAAATTGTAAGCTCTAAGGAGCAGGGCCCTCCTAGCCCTCTTGTATTGAACTGTATTGTTGCTGTATTGTCTCCCGTTATATTGTAAAGTGCTGAGTAAAATGTTTTGCATGATATAAATCCTGTATAATAATAATAATAAAGCTGGAGAGTGCAAAATCAGGCTCACTTCTGCAAATGAAACCTTAGTTTGTTCAATTGCGCTTTGGCAATAAAACCTGGAAGATGATGGGTTTCTATGCAGAAGTGAGCCTGCATTTGCACTCTCCAGCTTTAGTAAATAAACCCCTATGTATTGCTATAACTGTATCCATTCATGATTGGAACCAAATTAGTTGTGCAGGATGCAGTATGCTTGTTACAGAAAACTTGTGCTGTGGAATATGGAGACTTCCATTACTAACATCTCTTGACATAAATGGAAGGTGTCTGGTCATCATGTTGATCCAGATCCTTAAAGATATGTTCACCTTTAGTACCATGTTACAAGTTACACCTGTATTTAGTGTGTAACATTTTACTTTGCAGCACCCCCTCTTGCCCTCCGTCCATGACAGCAGGTGGGGGATCCTCTTCCCGCACCTGCTGTCACATTTTAAAAATGGTGCAGCTGTGTGGGGCTCTGCCCACACAGTTGTGTCATTTATTCACACAGACAGCTTGTAGTTCTCAATAGACTGTAGTTCTCATAGTCCACTCACCCTCCCTCCAGCTTTGTAACTGAAAGCCTGTACAGAAGTACAGGAGCAAAGCTGGAGGGAGAGTATGCAGGAGCCTGATGTTACACCTGCGATCCACTGACTGTGGGTGAAATGCTCTGTAGACTCCTGAGAAAATAATAAATGCACATTTTTTTACCTGCAAAATATGTAATTTTTTTTTTAACTTATCCTTTAAGAACTTGAGTGGATGACTTGCAACAAGTATGCAGATCAGAAGTTATGATTCAGTCTGCATGGATTCAGTTATTTCATGTTTCAGGTCATTGACCCATAGTTTTGAAGCTAGAGACATCCAAGAAGGGAGCATATTCAGTAGGAGGTCAATAAGGACAGCTAACAGATTTCTTTTAGTACAGGTTTCCTTTAAGGTATTCATATATATATTAGATCACAGTGCAGTCACTTGGCTCTTTTTTGGCCAAATGGCTTTTTTGGGTGAGGATCAATTTTCAGTGTTCATCCTTGGAATACAAAGCGGTTGGACAAGTAAGAAAACCAAGCCTAATAACTATTGTTTTCCTTACATTGATCTCCTTGCTCCCATCCTACATTGACTAAGAGAAATGTTTGTAACCAGACCTTTCCTGTTTAGGTCAGAAGACATCATGTGATCTGGATGCACGTCTGATAGCACACTAAATCTATTGCTAGCTTTAGGCCCATGTCACAATGGGGATTTTGTGACAGCAATTGGTAGCAGCTGCAGAACCACTCTCCTTAGCATTTTGTTCTTATGAACTGCAGTCAATGAAAGGTCCATGTTATTGAAATTTCTTGCAATTTGTAGCTGAATTGCCGAATTATTGACTTTTGCAGTGTTTGGAGCCAGCAACAGAATCACCAGCTTTAGCTATACATGTCATCCTATGCAACATCTGATGATCATGGCACACCAGGGATTTG